AACTTTTTTAGAATGACTATGACCTGGATGACCGAGAATCTTCACCAACATATTTAACTTCAGATTGTTTAGAAGTAGCCAATCGGGAGCATAAGAAGCCATGACATCATCGTCATCTGGAATTTACCAAATTGTTTACAGAGATAAATCTGAGTTTATTTGGACTTCTGAATTTAAAGATTGTAGTAGAACATTTTTTTTTAAATTATTGTGTCCTTAAAGGTATTGTGGAAGACCCGCCCTCTACACTTAAGAAAAAAAATGCTTGTGCAAGAGCGTGCACGAGCCAATTTCTCCTCGTGCATGCCCATGTGCTGTTCTCATAGCTTATACAAGCTGACCCTGTCTACATACAGCAGGGACTATATAGTGGACTTTATAGTGAACTCAGTTAACTGACCGCTCAGACAGATGATCACTGCTTTTTGCCCCGATGGTCACGTAACTCCTCCTCCACCGTCTTTGTTATAACTCGCCGCTGTCGGGTAGCGACAGCCTATGGCGACAGTGGGCCACTGTGACAGCAAATCCCATAGTGCTTTGTGAGCAGAGCTCTGTGCACAAAGCATTCTGGGATAAATCTGCCTCTTCTAAGGCCTTTCTTTTCTTCTCATGCACGTTTTCTCTTTCGACGCTAGCTATGTTACCTTATGTAAACATATCACCAGAATGATTGGCAGTTAGGAGGACCACTTATTTAGATGATCCACCCGGAATTAAAAGATCATCCTCTATACCTTGAAGCAAACAGAGTTTGTTTTTGTAATCCATATTGCCCTAAAACAGGAATAATTTTCTGATTGTCTTACAGTAAGAAAAGAAAAGATTGATTTTGAGTCTGGAAAAATCTAGTTATTGCATTGATATTTGGTATAAGCATCTATTTATCCATCTGTGTAGAATCTGACCTGGATGATTTAAGTTGTAAAGAGGATCCAGAGCCTGAGCTCCTTTATTTTAGAGGCTCTGAGCAACAGGACCCCCTGATCCACGGGACAGGAGAGGAAACGGGGGAACCGTCGGTGATGAACACACAAACGCAGCACAGGTAAACGGCAGTTTTCAACATTAGACTGTAAATCCCAAAGGTTGCGCCCAGTCCTGACCGGCTCTGTTATGCTCTAACTCTCTCTCCATTAAGGCCGCATGCCAATACTCCTTTCATGCCAACAATGGTGGCTGAAACTCCCACTGTGCCCATGAGCCAAAATATCAGCCATCATTACACGGATGGTGTTGAAGTCAGAAGTTCCCCGCCACATTGTGCTCTGAGTAATCTTTCATTGGCAGCTGCTGGTGAGGAGCTCCTGCCAAACATCATTCATTCCTGTCGCTGTTCTGATATTTACTCCGTCCTGTAAGTCGCTGGCTCTGCTCAACGACTTTGTTTTCATTCCTCCAACAGAGGCGGACGCGTATTCTGAGCCGGGGACGGTGAGAGAACTTTTACATTTAAAAGCAAAAAAAAATAAAAATAATCATTTTTAAATTCAAATGGCTCTTTGGTTTTATTAGGACATGAATGATCAGATGCTTGAGGTTAACACCAGTCACGATCAAAGCCAGCAGGTTATCACTGGGCCCTCAGAGGAGACTGAGGGGCCCAAAGAGGCTCCTAAACAGGTACGATGGAAGTTAGATAGTTTTTAAAATACTGTCAGTATGTGACACTGATGAAATATTTGTTCTGTGTTTATAGAGCGCAAAAACCGGGTGGTTCAGCAGCTGGTTCAAATCGAAGCCAAAAGAAGCCCAAAAGAACGACATTCCAGCTCAGACGGTGAGATTTCTACAGACGAGGAAAAAAAAAAGGATTTCATCTGTTTTTTAATCAGGCTTAAGTTGGGGTGTTCATTTCTAACCTGCTAGGACCCGCTCCCACCCGTCAGCCACCACCCTCCTCCTCCCGGCACATTTCCCCCCTCCCTCTCCCCTGCTGGGGTCAATCCTTTCTCAAGAAAAGCAGGTGAGTCATTGGACCAATTATACATAAATATATATAGTTTTCCTCTGTAACGTCATTGACAATGTGACGCACCAACATAGAGTGGCGCATAGCCGTGAAGACGATGTTGAATATAAATAAACAAAAAAATTAAAAAATTCTGAAAAATGTGGCTGGCTTTAAAGGATTCATAGAATCATTCCATAGGGTATCTGGTCCTTCAGGTCTCTGAATAGGGTGTGTAACATTGGTTGGGCTGAAAATGGCATA